TCCTCCCTCCCTCCCTCCCTCCCTTGTCTTTTAGCTCTAACAGGGGTTTTTAGCCTTCTGGGCGCCGCTGTAATTACGTCGTCCCAACAGTGAATCTGCTAATGATTCACTGATGCTGAGTAGGTGACACCTCTTCACTCCATCTTCCCGCTGCCTCCCTTTTTGTCTCCTCCCACGTCTGCTTCACCCTCACCCCCATCGTCCCGCTTTATCTTCTTCTCGCCCTGCGTCTGCGAGCCCCGCTCTCATTTGTCTCTGTCTCTGACCAGGATGCTGGTTGTATAATCAGGAGACAAGTTGCTCTGCCACAGACGACCGCGATGATTCATCCAGAAACAGGGGGGTTCCTGCGGAAGACAGGAGTGGGACAGGGAGGAAGGAAGGGAGGAAGGAAGTTGTGGGAGGAAGGATGGAGGAGACAGTGATTTAAGGAGTCGTTTCTGCTTCACTGTGGGAACCAAAGTGAGGACAGGTTGTTCCAGATGAGTGGGTCTGGAAACACAGAGGTGAATAAAGATGTGCCGGCTCCAAAATCAAACACACAGGAATCGTGAAGTTGGAGAACATTTTCACGGAGGAGCTGATGGTGTTGGATCATTAGCGTTAGGTCGTCGTTCGGGGTGTCGCGACACACGGGCAACGATACGATACGATACGATGTACTGGGATACGCTGCGATACTACAGGCACGACGATATATCGAGTTTTTTTTTTACAATTTAACTGTAGGAAAACTGTACCTCTGTACACAACATTACATTAATAATGACATTAATTCACATTAATATATTACAAATAAAGTTTAGTTTTTGGAATAAACATTGGAATTAATAGTTTTTAATATTTACGTTTTTCTAAAAAACATTGGAATTTATACAGTTTTTAATATTTACGTTTTTCTAAAAATAATATAAAAATATTAAAAATTATACTTTTTCTCAGTTCTTTTATAACTAAGTTTAAATGTTCATGATGTCATGATGATGTCATGATGATGTCATGATGATGTAATATACAGTCGGAGGCTACAGTGTGTTATAATTGCTTCGTTTTGTTGGTTGTTTTTTTAAAAATGTAGATCATAACAATGATACAATCATCAGAAACACTAGAGAACAGACACTTGTTTCCTCCAACCCCCCTCCCCCCCCCACAGCCTACGTAGAGACACACACACACACACACATACTGGTGTTGAGTTTACCGTAGGCCTGGCACAGCAGCAGCTGCCAGGGAGCAGTAAAGAGGAAACAGAGGTGGGAAGAGAAAAAAAAAAAAATCAATAGCCATCGACATGCAACACTGCATCAAGACTGTTACTGTCCAGTCAGAGGGGGGGGCGGGGGGAGTGCGAGCGAGAGGGAGGGGG